GTATATATATGTATATATATATGTGTATATATATACATATATATATATATAAACATAAATGTGTACACATATGCATACTTACGTGGGTCTATGTATATGCATCTTACCACTTCTGTGGGGGTTCTTAGATTTGTTTGGTTATGGACTCCACTGACAGTCTGTTGGGGGCCCTTTTTCAGAACCATGTTTTTTTTTTTTTAGGTAATTGGGGTTAAGTGATTTGCCCAGGGTCACACAGCTAGTTAAGTGTCAAGTGTTTGGTCTGAGGTTGGATTTGAACTCAGGTCCTCCTGACTTCAGGTCCGGTGCTCTCTCCACCGCACCACCTAGCTGCCCCCAAGAATCATGTTTTTAAGTGCACAAAATAAAATACATCTGAATACAAGGAAAAGTCATTTTTATTGAAATATAGTCATCAAAAATAATTTTTTTATTAAAAGGAGTGCATGGACGTCAGGTTAAGAATCCCTACACTACTAAGAAGCAGAACTTTGGACTTGGATTCAGTAAGGCCTGGATTCAAATTCTACCTAGTTCACTTATCAGCTGTGGGATCTTGCACAAACCATTTAGCTCTCAGGAGCCTCAGTTTCCCCAGCTGCAAAATGAGGAATTTTAGGAATTCCTCCTTAATACCTGCCCCACCTACCTCTCCCCACACTTTAATAATTGCCAACTATTCTTATTATTGGGTAGCCTCCAATTGCTCGGTTAGACTCAACACTCCACAGACTTTGAAAGAAAGGGGGATCCCACAGCTGATCTCCTCTTTTGAAGCCCTGCTGGAAAATCACCATGGAGAGGCAGAGCCTCAGGCCAGGGACAGTCTGACCATCCAGGTCAGTAGAAGGTCAGGGCAAGCGGAAATTGAAAGGCCTCCTGGATGGCCGGCTTAGGCAATGGTTTCCAAAGGGCCTGATTTCACACCTGGCAGGGGTGGTAGGGGATTTGGAGGGGACAGTCTGCAGAATGGCAAGAGGCCATTCAAAGGCAGTGCCACAATTCCAAATCCCAGAAAAATGCAACTGATCAGAGGTATGTTGCCCTTTCTGGATGGGCTTCTGAGGTGGGGAAGCCTGCAGAAGGTATTTCTACACATTCCTACCCTGGGGTAGGGATGCAGGTGGGGAGGAGAAATCAAGAAGTGGAAGTCTCATAAAGTCAGTGGAGGGATGCTCTGGATATCTGGAGGTGGAGATATAGAAGAGTAAAGGCTGCCATTTTGATGTGACCCTGGGTCCTGGGAAAAGCCCCAAAGGCAGTTGGGACCAAAATGTGATGAGGAGAGTATTTGAGGGATTTTTCAGGGCAGATTTAGAAAGGAAAGAAAGCCCTTCTCTCAGCTTCTATGTTCAGAAGCCTGCCCAGGATTTGAGAGCAGCGCTCTCTCTAAATTCAAGAGTGGCACCACACCACCTATGACACACAGCACATTGTGGTGCAGGGGTAGCCCTTAAACCTACCCAGACAGCTCTGGGAGTAAAAGTACAGCTGCTCTGGGAGGCCGAGGAGAATGCATCCTGGAAAGCATCCCAAGAGCTCACCTGGCTCCCAGGTGATAAGGATGCTGAAGAGCACCGAGCTGAGAAACCTTGGCAAATAATTAGCCAGGGGAGCAAGATAACTTGTTGAAATTATGGACCTTCAATTTAACAGTGCTTAATGTGTTTTCTGTCTCTTTCTAACTCCAATGGACACTCACTCATCTGTTTATGCCTTTCACAGCTGGGAGAATTAAGTCATCAAAGTTTCATCTACCTGTCTGGCTTCAGCCAAAAGTACAACTTCCTTGACTGCATACCTTTCAAAATTGCTGTCTACATAGATTATAATTTAATATGCGGTGGAACCTACTCAAGGCTGCCTGTATTCTGAATATAAAATGTCAAAATCTGCATATACACGCTGTGGATTTTCTTCAACACTGCACACATTTTTAATAATGGTCAAAACTCTAACGACGGAAATCTTTTTTTTGTTTTAGATTACAGTGTAATTTATTTTTAGTCATGACTATTCCATTTCCTTGCACTCTCTTTCCCATAGGGCCTCTTGTTCCAATGCATTAGTCTGGCTGAACTAACAGTGTTTTCATCTTAGCCAAGTCTTTGCCGGTTTCTTATCCTTGTACACTCCTCTCTGGCTAATTCTCTCCCTTTCCTAAAAGAGAAACTTAGGACTCAGAAAAAAACCAACTTTTGTTTTTGTTGGTTTTTAAACAATACTTTATTATTAAAATATTTATTATTTTTCCCAATTACATGTAAAAATGATTTTAACATTTTTAAAAAATTTTGAGTTCCAGATCCTCTCCTTTCCTCCCTCCACTCCTTCCTCCCTGAGACAGTAAGCAATTTGATATAGATTATACATATTTAGTCACAAAAAACTTATTTACACGTTAGTCATTATTTACGTATTGTTTTTTAAGACCATTACTATTTTAATTAAGGTGTTTTCCTAAACCAACTACATACTACTAGGGTGTGAATTGGGAACTTAGGGATTCAGTCAATAAACATTTAGTAAGTACTTCTATGTACCAAGCCCAGTGCTAAGTGTAGGGGCTACAAAGAAAGGCAAAAAAAAAAAAGGGCAGCTAGGTGGCGCAGTGGATAGAGCACTGGCCTGGAGTCAGGAGTTCCTGAGTTCAAATCTCACCTCAGACACATAACACTCACTCTGGGCAAGTCACTTAGCCACAGTTGCCTCACACATACATACACACACAAAAAGGTGAAAAACAGTTCTTCTCTGCCAGCTACATGCATTGTAATGGGTCATTCAATATTTAAACAATAATTAAACAAGATATATGTATACACCTATGTATATATCCATAATACATATATGTGTTATTAAATGGTACGCATACATATATGGTACATTATACAGATATAATGCACATATATGCAGTAAGTTGAAGGAAATCTGAAAGGGAAGTCACTAAGGAAGAAGGGTTCCCTGAAAAAAGCCCCTTTTAAAAGACAGATCATGCCCTTGTGCTAAAATTTTACTGCTCAATAAATGGGGGGAAAGTAGTGAGACTACATTGATAATATACATATATATGGAAATATATATATGATCTATATACGTATACATATTTTTGCAATTTTGTTCTAATTATTTTAAATATGTATTCTTCTGAGGTGTGGCACTGGTCCAAATGACTTATGACCACTCAGGTATGAAAATGATTGGCTCTGAAGCTAAGGACAATGGAGAAGTAACCAGTCTCTAATTTCCCTCAGACATGCTTGTTAAGGTATCTTGGTTAATAGTGAGGGGCCCCGGCTTCACAACTAGAGGTCAAGTTAGTTAGGAAGAAGCAGCCTTTTAGGAGTGAGGCTTCAGCTAGATGATCCTATAATAAACCTAAATTCTTTTTCAAAAAATTACCGGATTTTTAATTTAAGTAATAAAAGAAGCATTTCCATAACATAGTATAATAAAAAAGATGATTGCACATGAAATGACATATTTATTACATACAATTTGCTACTCCTTTTAAATATATAATAAAGTTACCATGAACATTTTTTCCCTTTTTTTCTTTCCTCTCTTCCTGCCTCGCCCTAGAGATGGCTACCATTGGACACAAATTGGTATCTACATTATATATATATATATATATATATATATACAAATATGCATAATATATACATACATATACACATATAGTACATATATATACACATACTATATATACATATATATGTAAAATTATTCTATACATACTTCTATTTTTCAGTTCTTTCTCTGGATGCAGATAGCGACTTTCTTCAAATGTCCTTTATTTTCGATTTGTGTATTTGTAATAGTTAAAATGATTTACTGGCTCAAAGTTGTTCTTAAAATGATATTTGTGATACCAAATAACCTAAATTCTTTATCGCACGTAAATTACTTTCTTTGTAAGATTTTTAAACAGCTTAAGCCTGTTGCTTTAAATTAACTACATGAGGTGGTTTTTTTTTTCCTCTTTCCAAATGAGCGAAGTGACTTTGTGTATCTTCCTGGAAGCTTCTTATGGCCTCTTGAATAAAATATTAACTGCTCAGTCTTGCATTCAAGGCCTCCCACAATTTAAGGAGCAATTCATTGCAATGGTTCAGAAGCTAAGTTAATATCAAGGCCAAGACTGAGCAAAATGAATTTAGGTAGGAGGAAGCTAAGCAGAGGTGAAGAATAGCATTAAACTCCAAGAATTATTGTTGACTGTGAACCGACACTCTTTTTAACTGTTACTGCTGCCTGATCCACAGCAGCTCTATATGACCCTCTGGTGCCCAGTAGCAAATTCCTCTTTAAGAGGAGTGAGGCAAAGGAAACCCAGGTCACCTCTCTGTATTGGGATTTAGCAGTGGCCATAGCTTGCAACCTGAAGGGGGCACCAGTGAGCAGGGACCACCGAACTTGTAAAAAAAACCTGGGCTCTAGACTGCCAGGAGGCCTGTTTCCTCTATGTCCACAGAACACTCCAATTACTCAGGGCATTACTTTCACTATGCCTTGAGACTATTACTTCTTACTTCTTGTATTTTTACTTAGTAGAGTTAATATTAGGAGGAAAATCATGTATATGATTATGAAACATTTGCCCTAAATAACAGTAATAATAGTAATCATTTGTCCCTGTGAGTGTTTCCATGTAAGTTGTACGAAATGCATTTTCTCTATGCTTATGTTTTTCTTTCCTCTCTAAATAATGCATTACCAATTCTGTTTACAATCCTTCTGGATGGTTTCCTGCTTTAAGTTAGAATCTGTTGGGTTTATTCTGAGTTAACACTCTTTACCCTTCACCTCAAGGACAGTATCAGTATTGGGCTTTCCCTCAGAGGAAAGACTACCACTTTCAGGGTCCTCATACCACTTCTGGACTCCTTGCCCTTGTTCCTTAAGGGCCCCTATTCAAGTAGGAGGTCCAAGTCATCCTAGTTTACGCATCATGACTGAAAGTGATGGCAAGTGAAAATGAACACTATTATACAATACTGTTTGAACTCTGAAAAGCTTTATTTTAATGCAAAATAAAACCAAGTACAATTTATGTAGTCGTATGAAACAAAAATTCCAAATGCTTTCTGTGGTACAAAAAGGAACAACCTTTCAAATTTAGCAAAGATGCCACCCCTTTCGTCCCCCATACTCCAAAATATGATTTCATATAATTTTTCTTTAGAACTTTTGAACAGATTTTTTGGTATCATAAAATCATACAAAGTACTAGAAAAAGTAGTTTATAAACAACAGGTTTTGTTTTTACATCCTGATAGTAAACGGCACTCCAGTTAGTGCAGACTGAGTGAGAATACTCTCAAATCATTGCAATCAGGGATCCAGGCTAGAAGTGTAATCAGGGGCCATTAACTCCCCCAACATCAGGGTTCTCTAGTTCACCTTTGAAAAATCAGCCCTTGAGGGGATGCTATTATGACTTAGGGACGACTTTCCTTAAAAGACCTCGCTGCATATATGATGTGGGACCAATTTCAGTCTGCCCTAGGTTTCTCTTTGATCACAAAGCTCACTCTGCAGGGATCTCTCCGAGTGACTATTTCTTGCTCTGCCATCACTGGGCTATCATTTCTTTCCAGGCTGACATGGATGAGGAGTGCTGAGAAATAGCATCTTTTGTTATTTCTATTAATGGCTCTTCCTGTTGTAATGGCACCAAATGTGGCCACAGTGTGACTCATGGACTCAGAAAGCAGGAGAGAAGTCTCTCCAGTAGAAGACTTCCATTTTGAAAGGATCTGTATTTAGAGTCTCAATTTTTCAAATTATGTGATGTTTTCCAGGCCCATAGATATCCCAAATATATCAGGGGTATTTTCCTTTCCTTCTAAATCCTTCAGACTCCAGATCAGCTTGCATGCAAAGAGGAAAGGATGCTGGCTTTCCATATTGGTCCAGACTTGTGAGTCCATCACCATGGGAACTCCTGGTGTAGAAACCCTCTTTTACCTGATGCATACTGACCACATATCTATACTTTGTAGGCTTAGAAGATAGCCTGAAGTAGCTGGAGGTTAAATGGTTTGTCCATGGTTTGTTAAAGTCAAAATATGTGTGAGGGACTGAATTTGAATCCAGTTTTTCCTTATTCCAAACCCAGCCCTCTGTATCCAATACACCATGCTCCATAGCAGCGCTAGGAAGTAGATAGGAAGCTAGATTTAGAGTTAGGAAAACCTGGATTGGAAAACACTAGCTATGTGATGCTAGGCAGGTCATTTAATTTCTCTGGGCAACTGTAAATACCCAATAAAAATGAATAAAAGGGAAAAAAATGTTATCAAATGACTTGTCTGAAATTCTATGTTTTCTAATAATAAGCCTGGCTCCTACTTCCTGAATTTTTTACATAACCATCATGACCTATCTTCAGTCCTTGGATTTGGTGCTGTGGAAAGGCATAACCTGCCCTTCTCCCCCACCTTAGTCCAGTAGCTCAAAGGTCCAAGGCATTGATGGAGATATTTCTTCTTTCTGCTGCTAATGGAGGGTAGAATTTTTCTACCACTATATTCCCAGATATTATCCTTTTTACCTATTCCTTCAAACACAGGAGGAAAATAGGGGTCTGTAAAAATGTCTGCTGACTTAAGGCAAAAACATCATTTCAAGTCCTAAGTGACCTACTGGGTCAGATTAGCATCAAGGAAGGGGGTTTGTTTGATACGTCTTTCCTAAGTGGCACCAGCCCATGGCATTCCAGGGGAGTTATTGGAGTTCTGAACTACTGATGGAGACTACTGATGGAGTTTTTCAAAGGCCATAAATAAAGTGGAAGTTTGTTTTTCACCCCATGCTGATTATTCTGTGTTTTTCCTAAATACTGTAGATGAGGTCTGTAAAGGGTGCTGCGGTGCCCTGAGAAGGGATATGTTGTGTAGTGATTTATTAAGCCCTCCCTTGAGTTCTGAGCTGTTTCTAATTGTTGCCTGGCTTGATAAAGGCACTGTCACAAACATACAATATTAGTTCCTTTCCAGCCGGGGCCAATGGGATGTGGGTTATATTTCAAAGGAGCAAAGGGAACTACCTTAATTTATTTTTCACTCACTTTAAGTGGACCTTCTCGGCAGTGGCTGTTTCCCTGAGGTTACCACATTTTTATTGACTGTGTACACAGTACAAAAAGCCTTCTCCAGAGAAGTTGAGACCCCGTCTGTGTGCAGTAGGTGGAGTACGTGCTGGGTTTCCAAGTGGGAACGTGAAAATGAGGGCTTTTTTTCTAGTAAGGTCACACCTCTTGCCCACTGTAGACTACTTAACCTCATGGTACTACCCTCCATCCAGATGTACATCCTTTACCAATAAGCTGAAGCTTCTGGCTTCTAGCCCATAACAGCTAGGCTAGAGATTGGGGGGCAGAGAAGGAAAGAACCAAAGAGCTCATTTCTAATTATCCATTACAAGGGACATTTCCCCTCGCTTCATCTTTTTCATCTGCAAAATGTATTAAGCCTGAGGGTGAGACCTCATCATCCTTTTCATCCTTGCCTGCCCACCCCTCAACCTGGTATACCTGCATTCTCCAAACAAGTATTGAAATCAGCACCTCCAAGGTAGGACTTCCTTCAAGACCCAAGTAGATCCCCAGTGAAGTTACTACAAGAAGCAAACACCAGATAACTGCAGATGGGAAAACCTGGGATTTTTAAAAAATAAAATCAGGTGCTCCTGTATTAGAATGTGGCAAAAACCACATCAGATCCCTTAACCTGGTTCCCGCTGAGTACCGTTAACAGGAATTCAAATGAGGTTCTGATCCTCCATAGTTCCAGGATGGGCTCATGAGGTTGAGAGATAGAAAAAGCAACATCCTGGTATGCTTCCAACAGGAAATTGTAGTTAAGAATATTGGAGAGACATACTCTGCCAAACTTCACTTCCTCCAAAAATCTGGATAGAACCTAAAGCTGAGGTGGGGGAACCTCAGACATCATCAAGTCCAACTGATCACCTCCTTTTAAAGACGAGGAAACTGAAGTCTCTTTTTAAGCTTGTTCCTCCATTTTGTAAAATGAGGTCGTTGGACTAAATTCCTTCTGGTTCTAGACCAATGATCCTAGGATCCTATGGTTAAGTGACTTGTTTAAGGTCACATAGCCATTAGCAGATCCACATCCTTCTCATTCCTACTTAGTGTTCTTCCTGCCATTCAGCATTGCTTTTTTTCTCCCAAACCAGCAGTCAGTATCACTTCTTAGAGATGGAATTCAATTTTATTTTGTTATAAATGATATTATTATGGAAACATGCAATTGGAAAAAAGGTGGTGGGCTAAGTAAGAGCAATGAATTACAGACTGCTCAAGTGCTAATACCTATGAAATATAAAAAGACCAAGGGAAGGCCTCCATTATGTTGGGTTGATGCGCTGTGGAAGATGCTTGGGGGAGCACGGACCAGATGAGGATAGATTGTGATCTGCATGGACTAAATAAACACCTATATCAAAGCCATCACAGATACATAGGAGTAAGGAAATGTTAATCTGGGATAGATGGACCCTTGGTTCAGTAGCATGGTAATTTAATAAATCCTCTTAACCTCCCCCATTTTAAACAAAGGCAATGGCTGAAGGTGACCTCTAGACATTTTTTTTTTTTAAAGAATAAGGAAGCACGCTGAAGAGTCTTATAGCATTTCTTTTTAAGAGGCCCAGATCTAGACAAGTTGTTCTGCCTCTAGGCTTTGAATGGTCCTCAAACAGTTCTTTGTTTGCACTCTCATTTAGGTCTAGTTACAATCTTTGAATCGTCCATTCATAAGTGGAAAACAGTCATGGAGTTTAAAGGAATTACAATGGATTTATCCACCTTAAAGCCTTTGGAAGATTTTTTTATGAAAATTATTTTGAAAGCCTTAAGATCCCTTCTCTGCCATTTACTTTGCAGTCAAACAAGCTAGGTTGTGAGACACTGGAACCCAAGTCTGAGTTGTACAGTGGAGTGTGCTCAAATCCTGACTGCCATTTCTGACCTGTGTGATCTCAGTTGCTTTTTCCTTTCTGAGTCTCAGATTTTTCATTTTTTAAATGGGTTAGATGACCTCCCTTCAGCTCTAACATTATGGAATTTCCATTGACCTCCCAGAGACTGAGGAACATTATGTTTATTCTTAGGGAAACTGAGGAATAAACAGGATTCAGCTCTAAATCTCTGGTGGGGCCAGGGTCCTCCCTGCTACCTTGTCTGCTGTTACTAAGAAGACAGATAAAACTTATCCTGGTTTGCTGCCTCTTCACCCCTCCCCTCTATCTTTTCCCTTCTTTTTTTCTTCCTTCTTAAAACCAAAAACTCCTATGTTAACTTTATATTTGCCTTTAAAAATTAGTTTTCCAAAACTGTGTTTTCCTACATCCTACCCCTTCTCTTGCTTCACACACACACACACACACACACACACACACACACACACACACACAAATTCAAAACCAAACTGACATCAGAGTATGGCCTTAATGAACACATACTGTTTGTCCACCACGCCTTGGGCCATTTTGTTTTAAAGACCCAAGAAGGCTCCTCCCAGCTGTGGTTGGCATTTAGCTCCCTGGAGTGCAAATGGGGATTGTTTGGCACTTATTACTGAATTGGCACCTCCAGGGCATTGAATCCTGGGAGGCCCAACAAGAGGGTTCTCTTCCTTCCCAATTGAGGATTATCTATAGACGAGAAAGCCTTAAAATAGAAATAGCAGCTAAATAATTACAGGTTGGAAACCCGGGACTGCTTCTCAGATCGGGGCCTCTCTGATGCTGTGGCCAGGAAAAGGCGGAAAGGAAGGGGGGAAGGACCAGGTCAACTTTGGCCCTCCTGCTGGCTCTCAGGCTCCTCTATCTAACAGAGAATAAGCATGCCCTTGTGGAACATAGCTTTGGGCTGCATGTGACAAGACCCCACTTCTTTCCTTGTGATTGATTGGTCCTTGAAATACCAGCCTCTCAGCAGCTCTCACTGATTTTTAGGATCCCTCCTGAGGCCTGATGTTGAATTTCTACCTTACCCGTTTTTTTTTTTAAATAGAGAAACAGGGAAAATATAACTGAGGCACCCCCCTTCCCCTTTCCTATTGCAGGTTCAGGCTTACCAAACGCTTTCCTGGCTGGCAGGTATAGTCTGTGAAACATTCAATCAAACTTATGGTAGCAGGACCCTGACAGATACTAGAGATAAAGAAATACTGTCTTTCTCTGATGGAAAACTTCTGAGGAGCCACTTCTGTTTGTTTCTTTCTTTTCTTTTTTCCTTCTGTTGCTAAAATAATAACCGACTCCAGGTGCACCAGATTTGCAGTCTTGTATACACCACGGCCATAGGTATTGTCTTCCTGATTGCAAAAATCTTGCTGTTGCTTTGACTCCCAAATGGATAAGGATCTTTAGCAGAGACTGTCTTAACACCAGCGGTAATCTTTAACAGAGGAACTGCTCTGTGTGTGTGTGTGTGTGTGTGTGTGTGTGTGTGTGTGTGTGTGTGTGTGTGTGCGCGCGCGCCCGTGTGCTCATACGTGTGGAAAGGCCAGCGATGCATATTATCTAGCTCTGGGACATTCCACTCAGTGTGTCTAACAATGTTATTTACTTTTCAGCTACCACTTCTGCTCTGGGTTTAACTGGTTTAAAAGCATTTGAATGTACAGTACCACTGTTTTCATGGCCTGATCAGACATATTGTACCTTCCTTTTTTCCCCCTCTGATTGGCCTTAAGTGATTTCCTCAGCGAGAAGAACCTAATCTGTACCTGCAGCAGAAAGAACGGTTCCAGTTCATGGATAATTTTATAGCCAAGAAGACTTTGGGGGACTGAGAGGAAAAAAGAACAAGGCAATTGCAGAAGGTTTTTTTCCTGGCCCGTTTCCTGCTACACAGCGGCAGTCATGGGGTTCTTCTGCCGGGGGTCCTGGGCTTGATATGGGTACCGTTCTGGGCTGGCTGCCCGCTGTCCTGTTTTGCCTACTTCATGATATGCCGGCACTTTGTGGTGTTGAGGTGGTGAAGGTGGGACGTCTTGTCGGAAAGGTCCTTTGTGATGTGTGGCTGGAGGGGGTGGGTAGTACTGCGGATAGCGAAGGTCTGTCACCCTCACATCCTGGGCACGGGGGTAGCTTCCTTTAGGAGGATGAATGGGCTGCATTCCTGGGTAGTAAGGAAGTTCCCTTTCCTTGTATAGCAACCGAGGTCCTGTTAGGTAATCTGCTGGTTCTGAAGGTCCTCTCCTGGAGAGAGAAAACACAGACACATATTAGAAAAAAAAGCCAGGGTGTCCAGGCATATAGAGAACTCTTTAAGGAGCCGGAGGAATTCCGTGTCCTAGAGATCCACAGTCGTACATGTCAGAGGACTTGTCACGAGCTCAAATTTAGACTGTCTTCTCTACTACTTAAGCCACTTTGGGCAAGTCACTCAAACTCAGTAGGTCTGACTGAGGTAGTTAAACCAGGTTAGATGTTCTTAGCCTTTTTTCCCCTTTTTTTCTTACTTTTTTTTTTTTTTTAGTATCTTGGACCTCTCAGAATAATGTGTTAAAAGGCATAAAAAACGTAGGGAAATTAATTATACTGAAATCAAGATATAATTTTTTCCCAACCAAACTCCTTGAAATCTATCCATAAACTCCTTGGGGTTCAGGGACTCCAGGCTGAGAAACCCTAGACTGGCTGAATTTGAAAGTTTCTCCTAAGTCTAAATTCTATGATGATAACAATAGCTAACCTTTATGTAGCAGTTAATTCTTCATAGCTTCATGCATTATTACATTGGATGTTTCAAATCCCAGTGCTGGAGAAGACTTTTGACAGTCCCTTGGACAGTAAGGAGGTCAAATCAGTCAGTTCTCAAAGAAATTCATTTTTAGGCTATTCACTGGAAGGTCATATACTGAAGCTTAAATACTTTGGCCCCATAATGAGATGATGGAACTCATTGAAAAGACCTTGATGTTGGGAAAGATTTAAAGCAAAGGGAAAAGGGGATGGCAGAGAAAGGGAAGGATAGATGTTATCATGGAAAAAACAAACATGTACTTGGACAGACTTTGAGAGAGAAAGTGGAGGACAGAAGGGCCTGGCACACTATGGTCCATGGGGTCACAAAGAATATAACATGACTGAACAACAAATCGTAACAACACTTTCAAGGCAGGTGCTATTATTATTCCCATTATATAAATGAGGAAACTGACACTGAGGTTAAGTGACTTACCCAAGGTCACATAACTAGTAACTCATACTACTTGTAAGTATCTAAAGTAGGATTTGAACCCAGATCTTCCTGACTCTAGGTACAAGACTTTATCTGATGTCCTTCACAGAAGCCTGTCAACGGTGAGAACACATGAAAACAGATGATATCTGTCTGCCTCCATTCCTTTTCTGTATTTGGTGTTGGCAATTTAAAGATGCCAAAGTCACCAAACTCTGGAAGCCATTCCTGGCAGCCTCCACTTTTCCCTGTGGTCTGCTGTTTTCTTAGGACCCTATGGCACTAGGGAGGAGAGACTCAAATTAAAAAAAAATTTGGAAACCAATGATATCAAAATCACAGTTTTTGGATAAGAGACATTGACACATTTCATTCTGGACATGAACGATTTAAGTGCCCGGGGAGAGCCAAACAAGCTGCCATTTCCACACCCTTCAATGCATAGGCTAGCAAAAGGGTCTAGGGCAAGTGAGAAGTGAACACAGCCCAATACCTTCCTCCCACAGCCCCTACCCATCTTCCCACTGGAAGAGAGCAAGCCTCTCCTATTCCATTTGCTGTAAACCAGAGCAAACAATGTGCAGATGACCGCATCTTATCTAGCCCGAGGATAAACAGATGAGTTCAGTTTGCAGCTTTGCCAATCTCATAAACTGTCTGTGCAGAGATATTCACACCTCCCCGCTCCTTCCCCACTGCCATTCTCCCCTTCCCTTTTCTTTTTAAGAAAACAAAAACAGCAACTTAAACACATCAGTCTGACAAGCCCTCTTAACTTCAGTACTCAAAAAGGCCAGAGCTCCTGAAGGGAAGGGCTGGGAGAGAAGACAGTAGCTGTAGTTAATTCAACGGGCTGCCAGATGGGGAAGAAAGCATCCTAGAAGTTGTGGAGGCTGAGGGTAAAACAGCTCTGTGAGTTTCCTGAATCAATGAGGGTTTGACAAGCTCTGGTGCTTGTGACAAGCAACATGGGAGCACGTGAATCCAGCCCTACAAATGTGCCAGGGAAGCCCCCTTCTATCTTCCTACGTCTTAATTCTACCAGGCATCATGATGATTGATGTTCTTCCTGTCGTGTCCCATTTAACTTGGGACACTTGTCAGCAAACCAAAGTAAACTGTTTTACATTCATTAAACATTTGGTTCAGGGCTGTGATTTCAGTCATGCCGAGAACTCCTCGGTGGGAACTCCCTCCACCAATGCAGACTGGCCATTCATCTCTAAATCATAGTTTTGGAGAGTTGCCTGAGGCACTAAGCAGTTAAGTGACTTGCCCAAGTATCACAGCTCTTTTTCATAGGATTATAGGTTAAAGCTAAAATGGACCTTAAAAGTCATCAAATCTAACCCTTTACTTTACTTACGAAAAAATTAAGGTTAAAAGAGGCTAAGTGGGTTACTCAGGTAGTTAAGTATTTGAAGAGGGATTTGAATTAGGATCTTTCTGACTTCTAACCAGCATTTTAACCTAACGCCTGAATCTCGGCCTTCCTGACTCTGAGTCTGACCCTTTTCCCATTAGGCAACATTGCCATTCTAACATGAAAAAAGCAGGTACTACTGTTTAGTAAAATTTTTGTGTTGGTTTATTTGAAAATGTCTACAGCAAGCAGTAATAATAATACCTTTAAGGTTTACAAAGTGCTTCACAAATATTGTCTCATCTTATCCTGAAAGGGAGGTGCTATTATCATCCCCATCTGGGAAAACTGAATCAAACAGAGATTAAGTGCCTTGCCCAGAGTCACGTGGTTAGTAAGTATCTAAGGCTGGATTTGAACTTGGGTCTTCCTTACTCTAAGTCTAGAGCTCTATCCATTGCCATCTAGCTGATACTTATATAGCTCTTCACAGTTTACAAAGCATTTTTATCTACATTATTTTATATGATCATCATAAGAACTCTAAGAAATAGGAACAGAAGTCATATGATCTGCACTAGACACTAAGAAACAGGCTTGGCTTACAGAGATAAAGATAACTTGTCCAAAGTCTAAGCAGAAGACTCAGGACTTGAACCCAGGACCTTTACCTCCAAATACAGTGTTCTTGCCACAACACATCTATCTACCCATCCATCTCTATCATTAGTCTATCATGCACCTATATCTGCATATCACCTATTCATATCCATCCATCCATCTATCTCTATCATCAGTATCTTTCATCTATCTATATCTACATATTACCTATCCATATCCATCCCCATCCATCCATCCATCCATCTATCTATCTATCTATCTATCTATCTATCATCTATTTATCTATCATACAGATAGGAAGTAAATGAGGCTGAATTTGAACTTAGGTCTTTCAACTTTCTAACTGATTTTCTAACTAATATATATATGCCCTGTGTTACCCAGAGGACATCTCTGCAATACAAATATTTTGTTGCATAGTGGCTAAGTATTCTCACTTTGCTCATCTGCAAAATGAAAGAGTTAGGTTTCCAGCTCGACATCTATGAAATTATGAACCCTCAAGAAGGTTTCAGTCTAGTAGAATAAAAAGAACACTGAACAGTTATTACATTGCAGTAGGAGTTCTTATCATGACAGTAGAGAGATTTGGGGGAGCATGAATTTGAAAGGGAAAAAAAATCTGTATTTTTACTAATCTCTACCCAAAAATTAGTGTTTTCTTCTATCATAAATTTAAGCGGTTTCACTATACTGCCAAAGAGGTCTATGACATAAACAAGGATAAGAGCTCCTTCATTCAGGGAGCTACAAAACAAAATGCTATGTGACATGTGAGGGCAAAGGTTGTGACCAACCAGGAAAGGTCTCCTGGAGGAGGTACCACTTCAGTGGAGTTTTATTCCATAATACTCTGGGCATCTTTCCTCCCTTGCCACACAAGACACAAATATCTCATCTGTTGCTGCTGGTCTGAGGGTAGTAGGATTGCTATTTCATCTCTCTTTTCTGTTTGAAGGCTATTTCATTTGAGAATGTTTTCAGTGTCCATGACATCTTTCATCTTAGAATTTGAGTCTTTCCCTTACCAGCTCCGATTTTTCTTTTTGTCCATGCTGGAGATTTCCAAAACACTTAGAAAAAAAATAATGCCTTAAACCGTGTTCCCTCCCCAACTCCCCTGAAGAGCTTTCTCTGCATGAAGTGACACGTGGTTTTCCTGCACTCGCTTTAAGCCCATAGGGTAAATCACTGACATACGCAACAGCACAAACATTATCTGCCTCAAAATGAACATACAACCAACCCTCCCTCTGGAGTCTCTTAGTGTGAATGTTTCCTGTTTAAAATGGAAAGAGAGAAGGAGGAATTCCAGGCCTTGGACTTTCAGGGTCCTGTTCTCCCCCTGGGGACTCTTCTCTGTTAAAACAGCACATTATAAAAGACAGGCACTCTGGGTTGTTTTTTTGGTGAGACAAGCCAGACTAAGTGCTGAAGGGGCAGAAGCCACCCTCCGAGATACAATCCGACTCACTGCAGGCGCTGAAGACAATTGGTATCTCTTCTCACACACCTCATTGATGCGACAGGGTCCAACTTTCACAGAAGGGAAAAGTGAGGTTTCATTTTTCTATGGGCAGACGGGGCAGAGCCCAAGATGATTTCATGATCCCGTTCCTACTTTCCTTTGAGGGGAAACTTTATGACTGGAACTTGTGCTTACATGTGGTAGAAACCAAGAGTGAGGTGGCTGTTCTTTGTCAAGAATGAAAATAATGGAAACCATATTATTCTGTAAAATCCATCATAACAGTTATCTTTTGGGGAGAGAAGAAAAACAATATGCTGGCCTATGAAAACACACAGAGTTAATGTTTCAAAGAGTGCTAAAGACACTGAATATTTCTCCTTTTGGGGTCTCTGATATTCACAGAACCTTCTTGCTTGGAAACGTCCTACAGACATTTTTCTTTAGCCTACTAGAGGTTTTTTTCCTGAGGAAAAATAAATTATTTTTAATTACTCTTTTAAAAAATAATTTTATCCATATTTGTGTTTTGCATCATCTGTTTCCCACTGTATTTTCAATAT